TCCTATGTTCATGATCTTCATAAATACATATAATATATACATATAATATATACATATAACATTATAATATTATATGTAATAATAGAGAATAAAACAAGATTATATATTATTTGTTGGAAATATCAGTAATATCTTCCATTCATGTTACACGCATATAAATTTTCGTAAATTAATAACGTTTTAATGAGACATTTACTTCTAAAAATTTACTTCTAAAAATTCAATGTTATTTCTTCATGTAATTTATTAGTCTCTAACCTACAATTTTGTAAGTACAGATTATTAAACAAATGTCGCGACTTTGACAGTCATATTAGATTAAGAAGTGATAAAAAAGATTATAATTAAAAAAATTTTTGTCATTTCCGGCATAAATTTCAAGACACATATAATATGTATAATAAACCTTAATTTTAGAGAAGAATTTTCAAATTTATAAAAGTAATATATTCGATACCGTTCTACGAAAATTATTGGTAGTTGGTAAAACAAATTACTTTAGGATCATCTAAATGTGTACGTCTATGAAAAATTGTACAACTATTCTAAGGTCCGATTTCACAATATATCTGAAGATTAAAAGTAATCACGAAATTCATGAATGATATATCTGTTGATAATCTTTAATCTTTAGGTAATCATATAGTGTGAAAATTGACCCATGTAATTTATTATTTGAATACCAAATGAAGTGAAAAATTAAATATTTATATTGACCACAAATTACAAGAATTTATAATGTAAAGGTGTTAGTAGAGAAGCAGGAATTTGTAGAAGAATTTTAGCAATACCGCCAAAAGTTTATAATTGACAGTGAAAGGGAAAGAGGAGGAAAAGCTGAAAAACCGATGATACGTCAATAAGTGTCCAGAAGAAGGGAATAATCGAACGAGTCGATTGATTGAATTTTTTGTAACAACGTCAGCTAAAATATAATTGTGTCCGTCTCAGATCAAAAATCAATATCAAGCGATTTGATCTTCTGGAAGAAAACAACTTGTCCTGAGTTTTGGTGGAAGTGAATATCATATCCACTATAAGGTCCACGAGAAGCCCGAAAAGTGTACAATCCCGCCATATCTGCGCAATTTCGATACACACGCAACCAAACAGAGAAGCAGGATTTCTTAGTCTTTGCGGCACGCTGCTGATCGAGGAATCTCAAGGACGTAACGACGACAACATACATACTCGCATCGTCTTTCTTTCGCTCTTTCCTCTTGTTCCACACAAAGGATAAAATAGATAAATAAACAGATATGTATTTGTAATTCCGTTCAATAATTGTAACGAAGTAACACTAAATAAATCTCGTATGGTCGTTATCCGTCGAATGACAACAATATTATACATTCAGTCTGAAAGATTTCATACGTAAATTATTGAAGGATTTCCGATAAACGAATTCTTAATTTGATAGACAAATAATAATTAATTTTTCGACCATCTCATCTAGCATAAATCAATAGAACCGTTATAAGAGAAATAATTATAGATATCAGATTAAATCCAGCGACGCAGTTTCATCAAATTGAATATATTAAATGACTTGCTGCATAAAATTGTTATGTAAATCTTGATGCCCTTGTCGACGATATTCGTGCTATTTTAACTTTATGAAACTTTATTTTCATATAAACCGCATAAGTTTTCATTTTTTTTTATATAGAAATAAAATATTTTTAGTGAAATTAGTGCGTTTTGTTATGATAAAATTAGTTTTATATATATAACGTAATAATTTATAAATAATTTATAAAATAACTCCAAGCAACATATTTTTATACCATTTATTTTATACCATTTATATCATTTAGTTTTTCTTATTCAATTTTATATTATATAAGATACAAATTTCGATAAAAAAAATGTTTTCAAACACCATTTCATATCATATAGAAGTAATCCTATATAACAATAACGTTAAGTACAGTATTTATATATCAGTCTTTAAATTGCAAATGCATATAATTTTAAATATAATTTTGCAAATATGATTATGTAAGCATCGTTATTTATCTTCTGTGGATTATATAAGCACTATAATTTTTACATATGTATACATGTGTGCTATATATATATTTACGAACATATAATGTATATAACAATAATTTATTGATTTATGACAAGCAAAGTAACAAAGTTGATAATAATATCACATAATATTATATAATATCACATAATATCACATAATATTAGATTAAAAGCTTTTGCATAAGAAAGATTATTAATACATTACTATATAGAAATAGGTTGTCTGATAATATTTCGATAATATCGTTAATACTTTTCAGTCAGTCATATCTTATCACAAATTATTATAAAAGAATTAGAGTATAATTTTCAAATATTAGGAGTAGTAAAAAGAAATCCATTATTTTTGCATGAAATTGAATGGCAAAATAATGGATTTCTTTTACTACACCTAATAATATGGAATATTATTGATCGATATTGTTATCTATAGATCGGTGTGAATATTCATTATCATTTAGAAATTTCAATTTCTTTAAAAGACATGGTATTATACATATACTACCTATTCCAATATTCGGCACTATAATACCACCTATATTTTTTCGAATATCATTTATTATAATATCATTATTCATCGATTATTTTCTAAACATATATATAATTCAATAACATATATATAATTTCAATCCAAATACAAAGTATTATGGATTCTACTTGATGATAACTCCAGTTATCTTCTTACTTCACAATCCAGAACTCATTAAGAATATCCTCGTTAAGAATTTTGAATCATTTCCAAATCGTTTTGATTTTTCTGGTTTGGAATGATCCTTTATGTAAAAACAATTTATTTTCTCTTTGTGGAGAAAAATGACGGAATGTAAGAAATCTGTTGATCCCTCTTTTACGTCTAGCAAGATGAAAATGATGTACTAAGGATTTTACAAAATTTATAACATTGCTAGCAGATGAAAGGAATATAAACACGAAAGATGCATTTTCTAAATAAACAAATGACGTCATCGCCTTATGTGCTTTCGGAATCAAAATAAATTCTATGAAAGATCCAACAAACGAGTTTTATATTAACAGTAAGAAAATAGTATCTAATTTTAAAGAGATTCGTTTAAAGTTAAAGTTAAAGTTTCTTCTTCTTAGAACTTTTCCAAAATTTTCGCAAATTCTCAATTTGAAAATTGTGGACGATTATTTGTCGGATCTCTTCAAGGACATTGATTTAAAGACTACAATCGCCACTCGCGACGCAGAACATATTACACGGATATGCTACAGTTAATAATGAATATCAGAGACAAAGGAGGTCATAAAGAACTAAACATTGATGACATGATTACGCAAGCGTTCATCATTTTCCTCGGCGGTTTCAAGACCAGTTCCACTGCAATGTGCTTCGCTCACGAAATAGCAGCTAATCCAGAAATTCAGTTGAAATTGCAACAAGAGATCGACAAAGTTTTGAAAGAATCGAACAGAGAAGTATCTTACGAAATCATTAATCGACTAAAATATTTAGATGCGATAATAAACGAGATTCTGAGATTATATAGAGATTATATAGAGATTCTCCATTTCTTATCTTAGAAAGAATATGCGAAAAAGAATGAATGACCTTATAAATTACCATCCACATTGTCTGACGAAAAACTTGTTATCCTGAAAAAGGGTATGACTTCTGGCCTTCGCAATTCAACGTGATGAAAAGTATTATGATAATCTGAAGAAATTTGATCCAGAAAGATTTTTAGACGACAAAATGCACAATTCTTCATGTTGCCATTCAGATTAGGACCGAGAATGTGCATAGCTAATAGATTTGCCATGCTAAAAAAAATCAAGAGCTTTCTGTTCACTTATTAGCACGATGTGAGCTGAAATCTTCTGCAAAAACTGCGTCTCCAATAAAATTTTGTAAAGGTCTGATGATAATGCTGAAGAATAGATTCTGATTAAATATTCAGTGTAAGAAAGATTAGCATCCTGCGCTGAAATGTACCATTATAGTGGATAATTAAGCCTTAAGGAAATCTTAAAGCAAAGGCTGGAACTCTGATGAAGTCACCAAAATTCGCTGTTTTTCAAGCGCATTGACATGTCTTTATATACTACCATACCAATATCTTACGCAATCTATGATATATGCACATTCCTGTTAATTTTCATATAACAATTCGTCGCGATAAAGCGTCTAAGTTTAATTTTAAGAACTCAATTTTATTTGTTCGTGCAAACTACGTGTTTGTGGATTATTATTTCGTACAAACAAATTGCAAAATTTTTTTATAAAGCAAATGTCACGATTTGACAGTTCGAGACGCCATGTTACACCAAGAAATGGTAAAAAATATATCAATTTCGAAATTTTTGATCGTTCTCGGCATAAATTCCACCTTACAAACACATATTAATGTGTATATTTCAATCCTGGAAAAGAATTTTTGAATCTGTGAAAGAGAAATAAGTATTTGTTATACAAAATTATATGATTTAATCGGTAAGACAATTTTAGGATTCCCTAAAACATTTCAAATAATAACACAGTTTT